CAGACTTCAGGAGAGTCTGCTAACTTTATGATTACTGGAATCTGATAAGATAAAATACATCACACAAGGGAAATTAAAAAAATATACAAAAATATACTGTCTCTCTCCCTCCCTCCCCTCTCTCTCTCCCCCCCTCCCTCTCTCTCTCTCTCTCCGTCTCTGTCTCTGTCTCTCTCTCTTTCCTTCTCTCTCTCTCGCTTTTTCTCTTACCATTGCTTGTGTGAATGGTATATTATCAATGAATGAAGACGCTATAGCTGATACCCATAAAACTAGCACTATTGCTACAAGTAGCTGCTTATCTTCATCTACTTGCTATAGAAAAGAGAGAGGCAATCACAACTTGCAGGCACACATACACATAATGCATCAGAAAGAATTATAAAATGGAGAATCCTCTCCTTTTCATTTTGGGCAAAATTTGGCCTGAGATCATGTCTGATTTTGAAGCAACTTTATAAATTTGTAAAAATCCAATTTTGATCAGAATTAGTTCAAACTTTCTACACAACATAAGTATATACACATATATTTATCAGAAAAAATTATAAAAATAAAGAATTCTCAAATTTTCAATTTTAGCAAAATTTGGCCCAGGACAGTGTACTATAGTACAGGGACTTTGGCCCCATTTTGAAGCAATTTAAAAAATTCATAAAAAATCCAATTTTGATTGGAATTAGTTCAAACTTTCTACACAACATAGGTGCATGTATATGCATCAGGAAAAAATTATAAAATGAAGAATTCTCAACTTTTCAATTTTGGCAAAATTTGACGTGGGACCCTGTACTATAGTACAGGGACTTTAGCCCAATTTTGGAGCAACTTTAAAAATTCATAAAAAATCTAATTTTGATTGGAATCAGTTTAAACTTTTTAAACAACATAAAGACATGTATATGTATGACATAGCTTCAAAATGCTACTTTAATACGTTTATTTACCATGCAACTGTATATCATAGCTACAATAAACCCATTGTGTTAATATTAGAATAATTCTTGAAATGCTTATCACAGTCAAAATTGATTCAAATAAAAATTTTAGATTAGGCTAGTACATCTAAAGTCCACATACTCCAGTATTCTTTAATTTATACCTTATAAAACATACCTTGATAATATCAACTGTTATTCTTCCAATAAATTCCATGAGTCCAAGTTCAGCAAGCCCCTCCATTAGTACAAACAGACCAGCAAAGAACAAGAGTGTGCCCCATTCAACTTTATTCAGTATAGCCTCCAGCTCTTGTATATCAGCCAGTATCAGCAACATCAGAGCACCAAATATTGCTATCCAGCCTATGTACATATCAAGATAAATGCACATTATTAAATACACATTGTAGCTGTAAGATAACCAAGCATGATGTAATTATAGCTACTACAAACAGAAGACTCATTAACAATGTCAAGTACTACTCATATCAAGATAATTATACATTATTAAATACACATTACAGCTGTAAAGATAAACCTAGCGTGATCTAATTTTAGAAAAGTGTTACTAAAAATAGAGGTCTCATTAACAATGTAAGATACTACATGTATGCAATGTACAATCATCAATGCTGAATGATCTATACATAGGTTAATTATCCTACCTAGGTTTAGCTCCACTCCTGGTATAAAATGAGAAAAAAAGAACATCAGTATGACAACTATTAGTACGACAGTTGACTTGAAGAGAAGGAAACGGTCTGTTATCTTATAGCGACTCTCCAAGTCCTCAAGGTTCTTCTTCCAAAGATCTATAGATGAGCGTATACTAAAAAAAGAGAAAAAGAAGTGAATAAAAGATGGAATTAATAGTGTGAAAATAAAGGAAAAATAGATGAGAGAGAGAGAGAGAGAGAGGGA